CAGGAGGATTGCAAGTTTAAGCCCAGTCTGGGCAATTTAGAAACTTAGGGAGACCCTGTCTCCAAAAAACCCCACAAAAAACAAAACAAATAAATTGAGACAAAACAACCCCAAACAATAATAACAAAAACATGAGCATTTATTCATTTGTTTCAAATGATTAAAGAAAACACAAAAAACTATATTTTAAAAACTGACAATCAAAATATCAGAGTCCAGAATAACATAATACCCTTACTAATCAGCTATTTGACATATCTCTACATTGCTTTTCTCCTACATTTCTTATGCTGTGTGCACTTTTATCGTTTCCTCATATGATAACAATTTTAGGATGCACTTTCTGCAGGGAGAATAGCAAGATAATTTGCTCAATGCCTTAGCATGGTTGGTTGGGATTTAATTTTTCATATAGAAAAAAGTGTTAGGCTTCACAACTGGTTATTGCCAATGCCATGTAAGTTTTGAACTCTATTGTCAAATTTTGGAAAATTTCTTCTGTGTTTCATTTACATAGAAGCTATAGGATTTGTGGCCTCTTAAGTTTTCCCGTTTAGTGGTTTATCTTAAATATAGAAGATGGACATTCAACCCAGAAGGGACTGTAGGGGTTTTGAGCCTTAAACTTCAGTGTTCCATGTTAAATCTTCCTGTGAATACTCCATGGATATTTATTAGATTACATTTTACTAATACATTTGTGGAAAGTTATCCTTAGAATAATAATATAATAAATTTATAAAAGAATATGTTCTTATGCACACCAAATGTAATCTTAGTTATATTCATGCAACAGTCATTCAAAGTCATTATTTGACTGTCTCCTTTTATCAACCTACCTCATATTGACCACTGCATTCTGTGACATAAAGCAGATAACATGCTTAGCTGTCTGTCACATAATAACTATTCGGTAACATTGCCATTATGATTATGATCATTTCTCCCTGAGCACCTGATCTTGGCCTGGGAACTTGGGGATATAAAGTTGAGATACTGTCTCTTTGACTGCCTGTAGAAATGGGCCCAGCTTCGAGATAAGCTCTAAGACCACTGTGGGAGTTATGTTTTGCCTCAGGTTTTAACACAGAGCTGACCTGCCCCATTAACTGTGGATTCCCGACAGTTAATCCCCATTCATGAATTTTCCATTCATCACGAAGAATCTATTAACATGGCCATACTTTACACATTAAGCCATCCTTTAGAAGTGCTCAGTGATAACATATAATTTGGTACAGTACTTTTCTCCTAAATCTTTTTACTCTTATCAAGTCCAGCCACTAAACTTGTCAAAATAGTTTTTTTCCTCTGTATTTTGTGACATTAAAAGCTTGCCCAGGTATAGTGGTGCATACCTGTAATCCCAGCACTCAGGAGGCTGAGGCAGTAGGACTGCTGCAGGTTTGAGGCCAGCCTGACCTACATAGTGAGTTCAAGATCAACCAGAACTACACGATGAGGTGCTGTCTTAAAAAAAAAACACCCAAAATAGAAAAAAAGGTGGAGGAGGCTCTATTGTGGTAGATGTTTCCATGGACAGGAAGTCAAGAAACTGGATCCACCAGTAACTCTCCATAGGTGTCTGTCAGGATGTTTTGGTTGCAAGTGCCAGAAAAGCCAACTCAGATTTGTGAACAACAGAGGAAGTATGTTGGCTCCTGCACTGAGTCCTCACTAGAGCTGCCCTCTCCTCACTAATCCAGTACCTCTGGAGAGATGATGGGCCCATTCCACCCAACCCACACAGCCAGGAAATCTGGAGTGCTGTTGGGAAGAGAGAGAAGAAGAGACACCGGAAAAGAAAGTACAAATGTGCAGTCTGACACATGGCCCTAAGTCACTTCACTTCTCTGGCTTCAGTTGCTTCATCAAATTAGGGGCTTGTATGACACCATTAGCAAAGTTCTTCCTAAGGCTAACCTTGTAGATTTCATTTTCTTCTTACATTAATTGGTTTTTGTAATGAATAAACCTTCTCTGGCCAGTGCTATAAAGCTAAGAATGTAATTAGGAAGTAAATAGCTCTGTTTAGATTAAAGGATAAGCCAGGGAAGCCAGCAGTTAGTAACTTTCTTCCTACCCATGAGGTGGAGGACTGGAAGATGGGGGGACAAGGCCCAGAAAATGGCGGATAACTCCTGCTTCCACTTAGTAAGCACATCTTCTGTGCAGGAAATGCACTGTGGTAGCTCGTTCAGTGGTGATCTGGGAAGTTCTGAGCAGAGCTCAACGATCAATATTCATGGCTTTGCTGCAATGTTGGTGTCACAAGAAAGCTGTGAGAGGCTTCATATGGAGTCAGAGAGAGCTGGTGTTGGTGGCAGAAGACAGAGTTACTAGGGCCGGGGATTTGGCTCAGTGGTTTCGCCCCCTGCTGCGCAAGCGCAAGGACCACAATTCGATCCCCGGTACCAAAAAAAAAAAAAAAAGAAGGCAGAGTTACTCTAAATGGCAGTGGAATCAGATCCCTGTGGAGAGTTGAAAGTGTCTCAAGAATGAAGCCACAGACCTCAGCTTCTACTTCATCTAGTTTTTATGGAGCTTTAGCTAATCTTGTGATGAGATTTCAGCCATGGCACCAAGAAAGCTCTCAAGGAAGCAAATGAGGGTAATTCGTGAGAGAATGAACATTTTGCTTCTGGACTTGAAGATGGCCTGAGTGCAGGAGATGGCCTTGAAGTGAGAAAGCATATTTTCTCTCAATATCTAGTATGAATCTCAATCTCTGTGAGAAGGCTCTGGAACATCTTTGGGGTGCCAGGTGCTTTCATAACAGAGTTTTACCTTCATGCCCAAGATACATGGGGAGAAAGTTAATCTGATTGGTAGTGTGGTCAGGGTATTTTCATCATGGCTGGCTGCTCTGAATGTGCTTACAGAATTGGCAAAGGTTGATCTGTACCTTGATCTAGTTTTTTGTCATTTAGCTTTTCAAAAATAGTTCTGGTGTGGTGTTCTATAGGGTTTCTTAACTTTTCTGAGTACAAAGAACAAAAAAATTGTTCAAAAATTTTTTCTAGTCAGACATGTGTGCTTTAGAAGCATTAATTTGAAGCGAAACCATCAAATCTTTGTCCCTATGGTCATGGGATATTGAAAAAAGGTTTATTTGGTGAACTAGCAGTGTGAGTGTGTGTTTAAGATTGGCAAAGACTGGACTGTTCTATGAGTTGCCAAATGGACACTATCACAGCTGCTTGTTTCTCCTGAAGGTTCAGGGCTCTTGAGTTATCGACTCATGAGCTTGTCTAAAGGTCTTTGTGTGTGTGTGTGTGTGTGGTGTGTGTGTGTACATAGTCTGTCTGTCTATCTGGTGGCACCCATGGCCTAGCTATAAGGCAAGCACTGTATGACTGAGCTATCCCTCAGTCCTCAAATCTTTGTGTTTTAAGATTCAAAGAAAAGCACAATGCTAGTGTACGGATTACCATGGATACGTTGGTATTTTGTAGGCATGTTTATATTCATTTAGTAAGTGATGGGCATTTCTATGTCAGCCTCAGAGCTAACTGGGAGAGGAGAAAGGTTGTCTGTGTTTAGTAACCTGTTTAAAGAATGCTATGCAAAACCCAAACCAAACACACAAATCTGTGATGAAGACACCTCACAGATAGATTACCAGCAGCAAGTTACAGTCTGTAATCTTAAGAAATAGATCTTGGAGCACATCAACAGTTAGGAGAGAGTACACTAGGGAAGAAGGAAAAAGGTGTGCTCTGCAGGCCAAAGACAGGTGGGGTACATATTAGTCAGCTCTTCATGACAATAACAAAATACCGGAGGCAGCCTGCTCATGAAGAAAAGAGGTTTCTTTAGCTCACAATGTCAGAGACCAAAAGTCCAAATAGCATGGTGAAAGCCCTGGCAAGGGTACCCCCCTTTGTTGGAGTCACATCATGGCAGGTGGTGTGTGGATTACATCTGGGTAGAGCCAGGCTCAGGCTTTTATGATGACCCTCTCTCAATAATTCCCAAGGGTAGCTAGAGAATAACCTCAATCAATCCCTTCCCAAGGGCAATGCTTCAGTGACCTAAGGACCTTCCACTAAGTCCCAGCTCTTAAATGGTCTATCAGCTCCCACCTCACCACACTGGGGACCAAGGTCTCAACACGTGGACCATGGGGGACAAACCATATCCAAGCCATCTCACCCCTCCCAGCAGCACTTGCTGATCACTGGCCAATGACATAACTTCTCTGCGCCTCAGTGTCCTCTTGGCCACAAGGAAGACAGCACCTTCATGTGAGGGTAGTGGAGGATGAAATAAATAATGTAGGTAGAGCTCTTGGCATGGTGCCTGGCATGTAGGATGCTGGAGAGCTTTTGTTGTGTGTGTTTTATAATTCCTTGGATCACAGTACTTGGGTACTTGCTGTTCATTGTGTTGACTGCTGTTGTTCAGGTGCCTTGAATGTCCTCAGGCAAAACTGACATCACCTTGGGTCCTCCCCAGGGAAATCAGGAGCAGCATGGTGTTAAGACAGTCTTGGACATGCCAGGTTTCTCACCAATAAAGGGAGAGGTGAACTCTGCCTGTCAAACACAGTGCCAGGAAGGAGGAAGGATGTGTGGCTCAGTTTCAAAGCAATAGTTTGCCCATATCGTAACCTTCCATAGAGAGGTAACAGGAATTCAGACTTCAAGGGGATACTGTTGAAGACTTTTGCATTTCTTTAGCTGAAATTAGGTTTTTACATCACTCATTTGATTAAAACAAAATACCACCATGCATTTATGGGGACAGAGAAGTTTCGCTCAATTTCCCTGTGAACTAAAATCTGCTCTAAAAAAATAGTCTATCAAAACAAGGGTACCAAAAACAACTACAAGAGAAGAGAGGCTTCTTACTAGACTTGGAAACATGGATTAAAAAAAAATAATGCTAAATAAGTGGAAGCCAACCAGATTGCTGTCGGTAGGTGGCAAAGTACTTAGCTATAAATATTTCAGGATTCCTCTTTCTCTACTTAAAAAAATTTTTGCTTTGCATTTCAGACAGCAGAAATGACTGGACAAGCTGTTAGTTCTTGTGCAAGAAACTGCAAAACAAAAAAAAATGTGCAAGATTTTCCTTAGATGGACACAGTTTGGCCCGGGTTCAGGCTGACGTCAAGGCTTGGCCCTGCAGTGCATTATTTCTCACACCTTCAACAAGCTCTGAAACCTTAACGCCATTCATTTCCCCCTGTCATCTTGAGGTGAGTGCAGGGCACAATTCAGATTCGAACTTTTCTGTTTTCACTTTTGATTAGTTCAAACTTCCATCTGTTGGTATTCAGCTAGGAGTATTTTCTGCAGCTCCTTTTCAAAGTATTCAAAGCAGTTTAAAAATACATAGATCCCCAGTACCAAATAACAACAGCAACAACAAAATACATAAGGTTCAGCCATCTGACTAAGAGCCAATGTAAGTACTTATTTGGGGACTATTTTTTAAAAAAATCTATGAAACAGATTCAAAACTCTTTTATGATGTCTTGAAAATACAATCGTTAAGGGAGAGGAAAAAAAAAGAAAAAGGTTTGAAACATGGGACTATTCAGTTACAGTCATAATACTTTTAGTAGCAACAGTAGTAGCAAATACCCCAGATTATAAAAACAGAAGAGCTAAAATTCTTTATTTAATATTAAACAGGAAACTGAAAGTAATCTGTAGCAATGTGGTGAGTTTTCAACAAACCTGCTGCTCTGTTTATCTGTGCTGAAAAAAGCTTAAATGAGACATTTCTTCTTTTATTCACTTAAGATTGAATGTTTAATGAAAATCTTAACCGAAACATGACCGTTAGTAGCAGGTTCTGTATTGTAAGGTTTTGATGCAGCCCATTACCACTAGAACCAAAAGAAATTTGGAAGCAAATTGAAAACCTCTCAAAGAGCAGAAAATGCTTTGCACTTTTGTTTTGCCTTTGTGTGTGGCTGTCACTTACCCAACATGTGCATATGAATATTCTTTCTGAAGACCTGGGCTTCATTTTAAGGTCAGCCTTCAATTTCTAGAGAATATAATTTGCTGCTATTTTTAGGGCATCATGATTGCTTGTAATAACTAATGGAAAAAAACTCAACAGAGAAATAAATGTGTAACAGCTGTGTCTGCTTAAACTTGATTAAAGGCAGTAAAAAAAAAAGTAAACAGAAGAATAATGTGACAATAGACGAAGGGAAGACAAGTATCCTTCTCATTGTGAGAAGTTTTAACAGACATAACTTGCTGCACTTCGGAAGGCCAGCGTTGTCTGTGTTTAAAGTTTACTTTTCTGTTTGTCTTGAGTGGGATCAGTGTTGTAGTGAATAATTTATAGCCAGCATGAATGAGCTCATTAGTCACCTTTTCAGACTTTAAATGAGTTTTGTGGTTGTCATTACTCGAGCCTTCTGTTCAGCTGAGGAGCAAAATGACAGTTTGGCAGTTGCCTGCCTTGTTGTGGGGGCTGCCTGTTCCCCTTCAGATCTGTGTTGGTTTTTGTATTTCATTGAAACCTTCCCTTTCTTCCCCTGTGCGGGTCCTGGAACTCTCACATTTCAGATGCCTTTTGCACCCCAAGCTTAAATGAGAAGTTTCAGGGGGATTTAAAAAAAATCTTTTGGTTGTGTTTGCCAGAGAGAATGAAGTGGATGTAATGAGCTTTTTTTCCCCCAGCAACTACTGTGTATTTTTTATTCCCTTTGTGCTTGGTTTGATACTCAAGTTATTCAAAAGCAAAAAGCAAGCTGGGGAGTTGTCACACAGCAGCTGAGCCAGGCTCTCACATGGTGATAAGCATTTGAGGCAGAGGATGTCACTGGAGTTTGGAAGGAGAGTGGTGTTTTGGAAGAGGTCTGCATTATTTCAGTTCTGAACATCAATCTGATGTGGATGAAGAAACTGCAGCAAAGCTGCTGGGCCAGATTTCCAGGACAGGAGGAAACCACAGTGTGCTTACAATGGGGTCAACAAGAACACATTTTTTGTTTTGTTTTAATTTTTAATTTTTGAGACAGGGTCTTACTGTGTAGTTCAAGCTGGCCTTGAACGTGTGGTGATCCTCCTGTCTTGGCTTCTCTAGTGCTGGGATTACAGGTGTGCACCACCACACTTGTCAAAAAGACCTTTCAAGGACCTGGACAAAGTGGAGGTCCAGGATCATTGGGAATGGCCATTACTTCCCATCTCTACATAATCCAGCACAAATCATTATGCAAAATTGACCCACTGTAGCTGCCCCTTGGAAACCTGCCTGGGAGGCTGGCATGTGCCAGTAGTGGGTGGGATTTCTTTGGAATGGATGCCCAGAGGTCCATCCCTCCTTTGGACTGCCCTGGGCAGCCTCTAGAGAGCTCTGACCTGCATTCCCTGGGACTGGACTTCATCATGTGGGATGCCCATCGTGGTCCTCGGATAACCTCTACTGGCACTTTGGGTACATAGGTGTTTGCCCTGGGTGTCTCCGCCAAGTCCCTGGACCCATGCTCTGCAGTCCTGCTGACATTCGCTGAGCAACAAGCACTGGTGTCTGCTGTCACTAACATGGGCAGCACCCACTTCCGGGACCCATATTGTTAGACAGCTGGCATGGCACTGCATGAGGCACGCAGGAAAAATGCTCAGTCTTCCTCCCTGGAAGAAATGCCAACTTAAAAAGGATGCCTGGTTGTTTGGGGGCCAGATCTTTGAAACCAGTCAGAGTCACATGATTTTTAGGTCAGAGAAACGAGGTGCTGTTGGATGCACCCACAGACAGTTAGTAATCCATTTGGCTACTTCCTTTCCAGCTCCTACCCTTATAAGAATGAGCACTCACATGCAGTCATGCCTCATGATTTATGGACATGTTTGGCTTGCACCTGAACTGCAATATTAAAGGCACAGTGTGATCTGGGGAAGTAGCTCTGTCTAGCACGTGTGAGGACTTGAGTTCAATCCCCAGCACTGCAGAAAAGAAAAGAAAAAAAAAGGCAGAAGAGATTCTATTTTGAGAAACAGTGGGGGTTTCAAAACAGAAAGCTTTAGTGAACTTCGCCATCCAACAGAGAAGAAACATCAGGTTTGGTAGTTGTAATAAGTTGAGTAAGTTGCTAATCTTCAAAAAGGAACTTTGTACAGCGGGGAAGTAGGTTAGTAATATTTTAATCTGTAGACTGTTTCCTAGAGTGTTCATCCAGCTTGGAGCTTTTGCTTTCTTTTAAAAGGTCTATCATGGAAAGAACTGTTATCTTTCATATCCTTCTCAAAGACTAAAATGAGAAGTCACTTCTAGGCATAGGTGAGACCTGGACAGACTCAGCCCCTGAAACCTAGAGACTGAGGTACTTGGCGAGCTCACAAAGAGAGGAAAACAATAAAAGCTCCTACAAATGCCACAGGAAGAAAGGGTTGTGAAGTTACCTGTCTTTGACTGATCTACAGGATTGGTAAATTCCTGCTTGAAAGAGTGATACAAAGGAGTCTACATTTTGGGGAAGAAATGATCAATATTTTTGACAGCTATGCAACAGGCCATGAGCAGAAGAGAAATAAAAGGCAGGGTCCCTGCCTCTGAAGGCACCTAGTCTATTTGACATTTGGTGTCCAGTTGATTTATTTTTCATGACAAAGATATACTACATTGTATTGATTATGACATGGAAGCTGAACTTCGGGGGTTTTTGCACATAGCACCTTTTCATTGTTTTAAAGTGCACCCTTTCTGTCTGTCTGTCTGTTTGTCTTTCTTCCTTCCCTCCCTCCCTCCCTTCCTTCGTTTGTAGTACTAGTAACTGAACCCAATTACCTTCACATTGAGCTATACTTCCAACCCCTTAAAAAATTTTTTTTCTTTTTTTCTTTTGAGACAAGATCTTGCTAAGTTCCCTGGGGCTGGGCTTGAACTTGTAGTCCTTCTGTCTCAGCTTCCCGGAGTGCTGGGATTACAGGTTTGTGCCAACATTCCCAACTTACATTCTTCTTCCTTTATATCCTACTGACAGTTTTTCCTCACTTGAGCCTTGCTGCTCCTGTCCCTCATGCCCTTGACTCCCAGGAAGGCGTCCAACAAGAAGCCAGATTCTCAGGATAGATCTAAAGTATTTCTTGGTTTCTCCTGGAACATAGCTCCAAACTCTAGGTCCCCAGACTGACTCATCACTTACTTATTCGATATGTGACTATGCACCGGTGGCTAAGCCCCTCTGGGCCTCAGGTTCCTCATTTATAAATGAGATATTAATAGTACATCCCTCACCCCCTCACCTGATTAAGGTGAAATGAATATTTATTTGCAAAGTCATAGAATACCTACTGGCACTGGCTACGTGCTGCCTAAGTACTTGAATATAGTCAATTTTTGTTATTGGCAGATTCCACATTTGTGAATTTGCTCTCTCACCAAAATTTAAAATAAAACTAAGGGCACATTCATGCTCATTCATAGACATGCAGAGCAGCAAAAAGTCTGGGTTGCCCATTGTGCACATTCCCAGGCGAGGTGGAATGAGGTGATACTTTGCTTCCTTTCCGTTCTGTAAACAAGCATACTTTTAGTGGTATATGTCGTACCACATTTTTTGCATTTTTGTTGACTTTGCTATTTAAAATAGCACCCAAGTGGGGCTGAAGTGGTGTCTAGTGTTTAGAAGTAAAAGATGGTTTTGATGTGTTGGATAAGCTTCATGCAGGCATAAATCATAGAACTATAAGTAGTGAGTTCAGTGTTAATGAGTCAACAATGTCTCTATCTATCTATCTATCTATCTATGCTGAGTTTAAGCTTGTGATCCTCCTGCCTCAGCCTCCCAGAGTATTACAGGTATGCACCACCATGCCCAGCTCTGTAGAATTTCTTGTAATGGAAACACAGATAAAGTAACATTATGTATTGATCAGTGGATAAAACTATAATGACCAGAGACTTGCAGGAACCTAATCCTATATTTCTCCTAGGAGCACATATAGAGTCTATGAGAATGGGAAAATGATTCAGACATGGAAAACTTTTTTCATGACCATTGAAAAATGCAAATACAGGGAACAAAGGAACAGGGTCGCCGTGGCCCATACAATGTAATAATATGCCCGAGCAAGTTATTTTCATCATTTCCAAGTTTTCATGATTGTAAACAATGTCCCCCCAAAACACCCTCCTGAATGCACTGTCACACCCTTCAGTTCATTTATTACACGTGTCCCATGTTGTCTTCTGTTCTTGTCAGGCACTGGCAGAAATGTGAGGTGAATG